CAGAATTTCTTTTGAAATATTGCGTAATTTCTATAAATACATAGCCCATTGCAACATATAAAAATGTCATAAGAAAGAAGAGATCGCGTTGTTATTCACATTCAAAATATGAAAGCGCGAATATGTGAATGGTCTCTTACTTGGAAAAATGATATACAGGAAGCTCGTAAATTTCATAGAACCCCGAATCAAAAAATTATTGAACTTAAACCTACAAACAATTTCATTCCTTTTTTGTTTATTGTTCAAAAAATTTCTTTAATTTTTCTAATTAAAATAATATTAATTATTTTAATTTAAATTACACGTTTTGAAATTAGAATATTAATTAGTTTTAGAATCGATAGATTTTTTACGCAGATTTTAACTGAATTTCTTGCATAAGTATATTTCTCTAATTTATGAAATATAGAATAATTCTAACATCAGAATGCTTGAATTAAAATAGTTCATTATTATTATTATCATTATTATTATTATTGTTATCCTTCCTCAAAACGTTGGTTAAGTAGTATAACCAATTTTATTTAAAATTTCCATTATAAATATATACATGGTTAGTAGTAAAGACTTTTGTATATGTAAATTTTTTTTTTTTTTTTTTTTTTTTAGATAGAGTATTATTTCAAGAAAAAAAATAAAATACACAAATAATTAGGAAGTAGTTTTTTTTTAGATAATATGTAAAAAAAGTTTAATGGAACATTTCTGATGGTATTACGAGTTAAAAAAAAATCTAAGATTTTTTCAGATAAAAGGAAATGGTTTAGATGAAATAATTTAGACTTTAAGATTTAATTGGATCTAATAAGATCCTAACTTTTATATTTTATTTCATATTTATATTTCAAATTCTTAAGCTCCAAAGAATTAACTCAGGGAAATCACAATACATTGTAAAAATTTATGACCTTGTTCTTGTATTTCGGAATTAATTTTTTGTTCCTGGAAACATTAAATATCTTCAAGAATGAAAATGAACAAATAAATTACCTCAAAACGTCTTACATCAAAAGTGGTAATATTACCTTCAAATTTACTTTTATAATTTTTTTGTTTGAATTTGGATACATAATACCTCAGAACATTTTAGTAGACAAGAAAAAAATTTACAGTCTAAATTCGTACAAGAGTTCTTTTCAGGTTATAAATTAACTAGATGTAAACTGAAAGCATTTCTTTTTCACGGGAAACTACACAAATTTAATCTAAAATCCTTAGATATTGACACACATTTTTGCTCAAAGTTAATGAAGCATCAGATGTTAGAGTTTTAAGAGAAAGGAAGAAGTATCTGGAAACTAGGCAAAACTAACTTCTTTGCGATAGGATAAGGAAGGTGATGAGATTTGCGACTGGACCTAAATTGCGTAATTGCTGTATTGAGCTATACTTCCGCTGGTAAATTCCATCTTTCAATTATCTTTTTTTTCCTGATTTCTGTAAAGAAATTCTGAACTTGTTGGTATGCTTGTATTTGTTTAGATTGCGTCTTCCGTTTCCTTTGCAACTTCTTTTATATTCTTAATACATGCATCAGTTACGCACTGATAACAATGGTGAAGGTTCGACTTTTTTACAGGTTAAGATGAAAATCACGAAAACCTAAAACAACAACTGCAAAGAAAGTAACCTAAAACTAAGTATGTGCAATTGCTAGCGCTTTTAAATTTACATTGGCAAACTATGCGGGAGAGAGACAAACTAGAATTCTTGAGCAAATTTTTACGTATCGTTGAAAAACGTTTTGCTTTGTTCCTAAGTTTGCATTGACAAAGTATGAGGGAAAGACACAGACAAGAATTTAGTAAAATTTTATGTACTGTTGAAAAAACGTTATTTTATGTTAATTTATTGTAGTTTTGACTACATTAACCGCATTGGAAGTATTTAAATACAGAAAAATCCATGGGTAATCATGAATCAAACAATTGATCTCACATATTGGAAGCTAGAATTGATAGGTACAAGTAGAATTGACGGGGATACCAAAAATTTTTCATTGGTTGTACAAGTTTGGTGCCGGCACATTAACTTTGCAGTTCTGCCCCACTTTTGAGAGAGAATACTCCAGGAGCGGTCTGCAGGTCTTCCACCCCTCTTCCCCTACTCCCAACTTCTCGAGAGAACTTTCTTCTCGTCCTATGTTTTGAATGCTAATTCGCCATACAGCCACCGCTTAGAAACATCGATGCCTTCTCTGGGATTCGAACTTGGGAGTATCGGTACGGCAGTACGGTCATTAATTTCTACACTGGCTGGGCGGTAGAAAAAGCTAGAGTTAACGGTGTAACTTCGCCCAGCTATTTTTTTTCCCATCAGGAACATCCAGATATATAGAAATTTGCACGCTTCTTTGCAAAAGTTTCACATGCGGACATCGCTCAGCCCCGTGTCAGTTTTTTGCGAATAATATCCTGGAAGAAGGATTCTTGCATGCTTCTCCTTATTCCACCAGCTTTTCTAAACAATTTCCATACCAATGAATTTTAAAAATTACTACTACTTATATGATTTAAAGTCATAAACTTACATGTCTTCCCCGGAAGCTAAGCTTTGCTTCTTCAGCGTGGGAGACGCCATCTCTGATGAGCAAGCAAAGCGTTCAGCGTGGTTTTAACGCTTGAAAATGGAAACTCCTGAAAACGCTTGAGAACAAAAACTTACAAGAATGAATAAAATACGATAAAACTTCTTTAAAATGCCTATCGACGTCCCAGACCATTTTGGACTTTTACGGAGGTCGTCGCCTTAGAAGGGCGAGATTAAATATCAATATTTATTTATGTTCTCAGAAATAGCAGTTATTTTCAGAAGAGATCACCATTAGGAAGTGATTACCACGAGAGCATTTTACTGCATTTCTAGTTTGCTATCCAGTTGTAGGTTTTTAGGTTTTTCATATACCACGTCTTAAATCAATCTTCCCATCCTTATTTCCCCAAACGTATATTAATGATTAAACGGAACTGAGAAGAGAATGAGAATACAATTGACATCATTTTCAAATAGGAAATTTCTTAGATGGAAGAAAATTACTCACGGAATACACATTATTCCCAAAATGGCATCTCCAAAGAACGAGAATTTAATTCTTCTAACTTTTATTTTTAACTTTATTTAGAGCAGATCAAATCGTTGCACTGCAAGTCACAAATTACATATATATGATCTTAAATTATCATTTAGGCTTTATCTCATAACGTTACAGAAATATAAATGAATAAACAAGATGTCTCAGTAGAAGGATTAAAAACTTGTAAGGGGAATAGAAACAACTTTGAAATCATATAGCTATCTAGGGTCGGAAGTGATATATGCATGCGGTAGAGTACCCAGAAAATAGTATAAATGAAAGACTACCACATTTTAATAATGAAAACATATTCATAAAAGTAAAATATATCAGAGAATATGGTTGCAGTGTCTTCTGTGAGCTGTAATGCAGGCTTCTCACCTCTGGGACACGGAAATACGAATGTTCTGGAAGATTCAGTGCATTTCTATAACTTCTCGGTTCTACTGCGATACGTGTAACCAGTTTCTTTTGCCTCTTCAGCACGGGGGTGGGGGTGATACACCAGTGTTTTCACATGCCTTCAGAAGAAGTAATCAAGGCATGATAGGTTCGACGATGGAAAGGCTGATGCACAGGACTACTGCCAGATCCACTGTTGGTGAAATGTTAACTTCTCGGTTATAAATGTTATGTCCAAAATGGGTGTCCTCATCGTGATGAAAACATAATGAAGGTTGTAGCAAAAACTGTCCATTATTCAAAGGTTGTGGTAAAGCATACTCCAGTATTATCAAGCAGTTGCTAGTTGCTTTACGAAAAGGCAAGAATATGTAAGTTCTGATCAGGTGATTTCCAGAACATTTAACCCTCCAAACATTTAACACAAAACAACTCTGAGCTGCGCTACTTCGTGTCGCATTGGGGTTCACCAAAACTCACATACAGGTGTTATGTGAGTTGAAGATTCTTTCCTTAGCAGAATTCATCGGTGAATAATACAGAAACAGAGAAACGGGAATCTGCAGTCCTTAGTTGCAGAAACCAATGTGCTACAGCAATCCGAGTTACATAATTATCGGTTGAAGTGCTTGAACGCTAGAATAAGATCTGGACGCATTTTGTGTCCTCTAAGAGTCCTCCAGACGCTGCAGCAGGTTTAAATTATAGCTCGCATACTCGAACTTGAAATGTCTTGTACTTGACGTAACACCTACTCGATGTCCGCAATATGCATCGATAGTTTTTTTATCCATGTGAGCTGTCTGGAAGGAACTTGATTTAGCTAACGTGCAAAGAGGGTTTAGCTGGGAAGATAATATAATCCTTCGGCAATCGCTGTGCAATTCTTCATTACACTCCGCAGTTCCGTATATAATAGGATGCATGTCATCTAATTTCAGTTTTGATACATTAATAACGCATACAACTCTCTCTACGCCCTGTTTGTGAAATGAAGCCTACCTGCAGGAAAGCTCGGATCAAAGCCATTTACTGCGTCAGGAAAGCACCCTGCTCTGCTGTATGATTCCCAGTCGTCATCGTGCATTCAAGCCCTCCTATAAGACTTAATTCTGGTACTGTACATATTATTGCGATATACAATAACTTACTTGTTTTATTTAATTGGAATGCATTAAAACATTTTTCATTTCGTGCCCTCTGTTTATATTTTATTAACAAGGATAATTTTAGCAAGATTATCCGGATACTACTTAGTCTTTCCTATTTATAATTACGTACCCAATGCCTCTATTGGTTACTAATGATTTTACCTGAACAATGTAGTTTCACTGCATTTATTTCCTGCAATGACTGAGTATTTTTATTATTTATTTTTTTCTTTAAATGAATCCTTCAATGGATCATTCTTAATTTTTCGCAAGTTCTGAAATTATTATATAGAAAACAAAGCTATCTGAAAGACAACTGGAATTTTTAAGCCAATCTAGAATGAAGAAGTACTGTATACAAAGAGTTTCTATAGAATTCTATTTAATATGACACCCTTCTTTTACACAAGTTTAACAAAAATTCTACTTGATAATTTGAAAATGATTAATGTAAAAAATGGCTTCGTGTTGCATTATTATGTGGATGCAGCTTGGTCTGTTAGTTCGTTCACAGTGATGTTGTCATTTGCATTAAAGCTATTCTTACAGTCTTGTATAGCATTCAGGTAAAGTTTCTTCATGCAGTCTGATACAGTGTTATATAAGTGGTAATTGTTTTCGTGGATGACAGTCAATACCTTCCAGAAATTGAAAAGAAAGTTGTGCTCTTCTTCTTCAATATCTTTCCTAGAAATTACAAAGCAAAATAACTCGGTGTACTATGGTAATGCAATTTTAAATGAAAATCAAACAAATAAGTCAAATAACTAACCAAATTTAACATCAGAAACAAGAAAACTTTTAGGTAAATATAATTTAATTATAAAACTGGATTTTTGTTTTCAGAAAAGGACATGATGACATGTCGATTAGCTTTTAATATGTTTACTGTTATTGATTAGTCGAGTTACCTGCATTTACTTATGAAATGCAGCGATTCGTGACCGCAAATATATGTGGTTGCACAGTTGTACGAATGCACATATAATTTCAAATTAATGACATATCCTGAATATGACATATTTGAAAAATTCGAGGTAGTTACAAAATACCTTTTCCTGGTTTAAAATATCTGCAACAAAAAAACGAACGTATTAAAACCAAGTTTCATATATAGACCGTGGAAGGCATGGAGAGATGAATTCCGAAAGAAAAAAAATGTAGTATCCAAAGTCACCGGTGGGAGAGAGTTTGGCTCTATCCCGGAACCGAAAACGGATCAATAATTACACTGAATGCGTGCAAAATTTCGTTAATATTTCAGTAATAAAAAAGGCACATACAGAAATGTATGACATACAGTAGTAAACTCGCAGGAAAAAAGATGTTAACCAACATTAAGGTCTTCTGGACCACGTGCAGCATGCAACATTTTCAATATACTGATATTACCTCTGTACAAGATACTACACCTGGTGTACGATGTTCTCAGTTGCTGTGAGTAAATTGTCATTTTGGATGTTCGTAACAGCTTATCTTATGTTCGGTTTCAAGAAACTCAGGTTTGTAACGCCACCAGTACGCACAACGGATTTAAAGGTAACCTCATAGCCAAGCGTCATAGGGTGATATCCAGGAAATGAGGCTGCAATTTCGTCTGAAAATATTGGCTGATTGCGAAAATTCTTGGGTCAACGGTTCCGTACTAAATGAATAATATATGATCGTGCCCCATTTTCCACAAAAATTGTCGAGTTCAAGCACTGTCTTTTACTGGAATTCGAGAACAATAGAAGTTTGCTGCATTTGCCAGTATTTCTCACCAGTAACGGTGTACAACAGATCATATAGGAGCGATATTCTCAAAATTGTATAGTCTTATTATGAAATCAGACGTGAATCCACACCACATGTTTACTTTTGCAGATTGCAGTGGCACTTGATGGATCGCGTGGGCCACTCGGACTCCCAAATTTGTCAGCTAATCTACCAAGTTTTATTTCTTACACACGACTGATCTTATACAGATTGAAATGCAGCATTTTCAGTAAGATTTTTCTGATAGTAACATAAGGGATATCCATTTGGCCGAGAGCTTGGACCATGCCAGTACTTGTATCATCGAACATTGCAAGGCAAAATTCTGTTACTACATCGTCTGATGCTGCTTTTCGTCTTCTGGTAACTCTTAAGTCTGAGTGATCTAGCTTCCCCGAATTTTTTAATCATACTTTTCACTGATACAACAGACTTTGGACCTTAACGCACATTATGAAGCCTTCTAAATTCCCTAACAGCCGCGGCAGCATTGAACTAGGGAACGAGTAAAGCTCAGATAAAGTAGGATGCGTATTAAGCGCAAACAGCAGTCGTTCAAAGAGGGGCTGACTTAATGTTTGCAGTCCCCTTTTTATAGGGAATAAAACGCTTTTATTCGGTTTGCTCTAAGAAATTTGCATAATTTTCCCAGATTTTGCAAATTTCTTAGAGCGTACTTGATGGCAATACCAAAATCTCTCCTGTTGTTGATTTTTGGTACTGAATGTTTTTCGTGTAACTAATCTCTCCATGCCTTCCTCAGTCTGTATATGAAATTTAGTTAAATTCCATTCATTAGTTTTAGCTGCAGATACCTTCAGACAGGAAAAGTTATTTTATATCCATTCTGTATATTAGCTCGGCATCTCTCGTTGTTTTAGACATTTTTTGTTCATCCGTGCCCTTACTTACTTTTTCTGAGCTCAAGTATTAATGGTTGGGATAAAGTAATGTTATTGTAGTTATTGTTTCAAAAATAATTCGAAAGGATTTTTCTTAAACTTAACGAACTTTTGTCAGAAAGTTTATTTTTAATGCCCAGCATCTTTGACAATATAACATAGCATCTGATTCAGGAAGGTCTCTTCGATCTCTTGCAATTTTGAATTTTTTTTCTTAGACACTGGAAAACTCCCGTTTAATTGAACGTTGGGAAACTTCGAAAAGTAAGGAAACCTCATCGAAAATCATACATTCTAAAATCAAATCGCAAAATTAGATTCGTCGTTTGATTATGGCAAAGCACTTAAGAACTGTTTATTTAAAGGGACAGTTTTATGAAGAGTTAGCTTGAGAAAATTGAATCGAACTTATGCTCACGATACCTATATGCACACTCTAAGTGGCTGCCTTCATGAAGAATAGAGCATGTGATGAAGTAAGATCTCTTCGGTTTTAGCTAATTTGTCACTGAAGAATTTCTTACAATTAGCCTTTTATATATAATTTCTACTCTATACTAACAGTTTTGCAAATAGAGTTTTTTCTATTCACTCGAGAATATGTTTTCAAATTAACTCACCACATTCATTTAAAAGCACTGACAGAAATTTAAACTTATTTTCAGTTCAATTTGTTAGTTATTTTCATCCTTTTAATATTTATTATAGCTGCAGCCCTTATACCCCCTAACTTTTTAATGCCGGGTTCTAAAAATTTTTTTAAATAGTTGCATAATTTTCCCATTCCTCAATATGCTCCCCTAAATTTTGAAAAAGGATTCGCTCACTTAGTGATTGTTCTTACCTAACTAACAAAGACAAACCTTTGAAAATTACCTGCGAACATCACTCCAAAAATTTTCTTTCTAGTACTGAACTTTATGCAGCCTAATACAAAAATCGAAGCAACACTGCATAGCAAATACGAACTGACATTTAATCTACAATTTCGCTGAGTCAGCTGCACATACCTTCTCTAATTATTTACGGGTGGTTTGAGACCTAGGAAGTAGCAGAGACAACAAAAGCGACGGGTGAGAAGAAGAATGGGAAGATATCTTATTAGATATTGTAATATTTATATTATAATTCTTGTTAACGTGTGGATTTCTTTAAGTAAATAATGTTGTAATAGTTACCTGTAATTTATACACGACCACTTTTCATTTTTTATATTCTTACTGTAACCGAGTCCTTCGGAAGTTAAATTATTCGCATAACTTTCCACTGTTGATTTTCGAAAGACAAAATTAATAAAAAAACAGGGGGGAATACGTGAGGAAATACGATAATTCTGCTCATTATACTTTTGAGTCATCATGTGGTTTTTATCAATTGATGTCCTGAAGTGCTTTGCATGGGTAAAGAATATTTGTTATGATTATCATAACTTGGGAATTATTGGGATACGGTATTTGTACAATAATAATTAAAACATCGAATGAAAAAAATTCCTATTGAGATATAATATACTTGATTGTCATCTCTTCCAAAGAGCTCTTTGGCTGCTCAGGTTCAGACGTCATTTTTTTCTTCTTTGTTGAGGACAGAGAAAATTGGAGTCTTTTTACAGTTTCCTGTAGTTCTCGCACCTCTGCTATCCTCTGTGAATAAATAGCCACTGATTGCAATAAGCGTGACATCCACTCATTCTGCCTAAAATGTGAAATATTTTAACTTCGAATGTGAAATATGGTGCTATTCTATAAATACATCTTAATTATCATCAATGGTTTTAGAAGAAATCAAGAACTTCGTAATTGAAATGAAGAAGATGAATTTAAACAAGGTTTTACAAAGTGGACAACGGCGCCGTTTGAATCATTCAAGAAAGGTTATAAGGTATTTCTCCCACCTTCATAGCATGCCTTCGTGGTGTAGCGGTCAGCACGCTCGACGCGTATTCGAAAGGTCCGTGGCTCGAGTCCCGGCGAGGGCATTGCTCTTTTTTCACATCTCCTGTTTCGAAATAACATACGAAATAATCTAATGTCTCTACAGTGGCGCCCGAACTAAAAGGTGAAAAGAAATGTTTTACCTAAACGTTTTGTTTTTTAAATGTTCTATTTGATAGCCCTTATACTTCACTATCTCTCTACACCGCAATTTCCAAGACAATAAAGCTTTTTTTAGTAGGAAAAAAAAAAGTATTTTATCCCATTCCTCTTAAAAAGCTTTTAAAAATCTAAGAAGGATTGTAGGTCGACGTCTGAACAATCCGCTTTTTAAAACTCCAAACGCACAAAAATTAGTGGATTATACATTTGGAGATTTAGTAGTGATATGAGTGAAGAGATTGATACATGTTTCTTGTTCCCTTTTTTTCCTAGAAAATTAACAGTTGATTTTGACGTGCGACGAAAATTAACAGTATTAACAGTGAACTAACTTTACTGACTCAAAGAAACGCTTTGGAATTGACTGAAAGAAACGATTCACTTTACTCACCGAACGAATGGGTGATTCCAGTGATAGCAATTTTACATTTCACGGGGAGCTTTTGTTGGAGGCATACCATTAATATAGATGCGCTATTTGTTCACAAACGTTTTACTGATTCTTTTTAATGAGCAATCGAACACCTGATATGCAAAAACAAAACAAACAAACAAATAAAAAAACAGAGCTCTTTTAGAGTTTACCCATTGACAGCTTTCGTTGGGAGATTAAAACTCAGTTCCCAATTTAGGTGTGAAAATAATTATTATTCTCCCATGGTAAAACGCTCCTTCAAAAAAAATATTCTAGAACTTTTTTAGTTCTGTATAGAAAGAGATTTTGGGGAATATCAGAACTGCAGTTGAAAGAAATCATTTCAAGGGGTTAGCATTTGATTAAAGCGATTTTTACGATCCCACTGCTCATTCGATTCTTTTAGCTTTTTCTTCGCCTTTCTAATCGTTTCCGACCTCATTCCTCTTCAATAATTTCTCCTCTTCACTCCATGCTCGTTAGCCCTTTGCGGCACAGTGTGTCCGGTCTGGATACACCTAAAAATTTCCTTCTGTACGCACAGAAAAACTGAAATGAAAAAGAAATTTCTATGTTATTTTTTGGCTGTATTCTAATTTTCTTATTCTACATTAGTTTTAAATTTTTACCTTGAAATCTTTCTTAAAATCAAACACCGAACCCTAGGTGTGCCCAGACCAGGCTCACCGATAATCTAGGACAACTGAGAGTCTGTATTCTTTGTTTCTCCGCATCTCATCGGGTCAGTTCATTGACAACAATGCTCGTTTCAGCACAATTTTCGAAGCTCTATTCAATCAGTGTGCCACTTTGGGCACACCCACAGAATTAAAACGATAAGTGCTATCTTCACAAAATTTTACTTATGTACTTCTCTAGGCCTACCTTTTTTTTTTTAAATCAAAATTGCAACTTTAAAAGCTAGCGTGCCGGAAAGGGTTAACTGCTTTTGATCGTTCCCGATGTTTTTCATCAATTTTAATTTTAGTGAACGGTGATTCATACAAAGGAACTGATTAATTTCAGTGATAATACAGCGCTTTTACCCTTCTTAGAAATGTCAGCAGTGATAAAATTTTATTTTCATCTTAGATGCGCATTGCGCTGTCAAATTTTTTAATGTTTTTAAAAATTTTTGAAAAATAATGTTTGTTATTCTCGTCTTATGATAAGTTTCTGATATAAAAAAAGACCTAAAAATACATGCATTTGTATACGATGTGTACTGGTTGCTAGCAACTTTAATTTACTAGCAACTTTAATTTCGACAAGAAAATGCAACAGACATGTATATACTTTCGTAACACCATTCTTATCTTTTTTATTCCTAAATTCAGAAGCCGATGAATTATTTTATGGAAGGTAGGTGACTCTAGATAAATTTTAAGAATTGTAAGTCATAATAAAAGTAAAACCTACTGGAAGAATTTCAACATTTGACTTACTAAAAGTTCACGCAATAAAAAAATAGCAGGTCGACGTAATCTTGAAGGGTTCCTTTGTGATCAAATAAAATTTGGAATGAGAGAGTGAGAAATTTTGAAGTTTTTCTTTAGGCATGATAAAAATTCTCAACCGAAATTTCTTTCTCTTCCAGTTTTACGCTTTAATAATGAAAATCAAGAGTTTGCGAAATAATGTATAACTTTGCATTTATGTTCGACACCCTAACACAGATATTTCACACCGCTCAGTGCAGTTACTCAAAAAAAAATGTATAAAAACTTAAGTAAATGATAACAGAATATCAATTACTTGCTGTTGTTAGATCTAGCAAGCGAAGCAAGTCGTTCAACTTCATCCTGAGTTGACTGGAAAAGTGCTTTGTGCTTCTGTAGTTCAGCTTCCATTTGCTCAACTTCGTGATCCGCAACGCTGGTGGCCTCCGAGATACTTTCTTCTTCGCCCTCCACTTTTGCTTCTCCTACTGCTTGCTCTGAAGAAGGCAGTTCTGCTTCCTCTTTAGCCCTTACAAAAGAGAATTAACTATACTGTGAAACCTCGGTTCACAAACTTAATTCATTCATGAAGATAGATCGGCATTCCAAATGATCGTAAACCGAAACAATTTTTCTCATAGAATTTAATGTAAAATGAATTAATGCCTTCCCGGATCCCAGATGATTGATTAGAAAAAAATACTTGCATATAAGTTCGTAATGCAAAACCAATGGATTTCATTAAATCTAACTCATAAACAACATTAAAATGTACGCAATATTTAACACAATACTAAACATATAAAAAATTGGAAAACTTGAATTAAATTTTACCGTAATCTCTACGAAGGAAAGTTGAGGATGTAAGTAGAAAACGGTGAAAAAGGCTTAAAGCTGGAAAATGTCACTGTTTGGAAGAATTCCGTAGAAATATAGAATAGTTACAGTCTTTCGGTTCTTTTTTTTTTTTTTTTTTTTTGTCTCCCTTTTCTCTTTCTGCTAACACTGCTTCTCTTTATTAGAGATTCTCTGAACCTTTGTACTATTGAAACATCGCCCACTATGGTTAGGTTTTGTCTAAATGATTCTAAAGCAAGACATGGAATTATCATTGCAAACATTTATGCTACGGCTTGCTATTGCTTTATCTGTGTGATAATGTTTTAGGAATCTTAGCACCTTATCTCATTTTGCAAAACTTTCGTGAATCGAATAACTCAGAACATCTTCCCTTCGGTCTCCTTTTTAAGACATTTCGCCCATTGCATTAATTGCATTTTGGAGTATCATTTGCTGCCGGCTTACTTACTTGTATCTCGAGACATCGTTAATCATCCAAAATATTTTTTGTTTGTAAAATTTGTTTTTGAACCAATTTATTTCTAATCCAAGGCATTCGATAACCAACGTCTCATTGTATATTTTTTAATGAAGTGAAACTCGAAGTTTCAGAATCGAATCGAACATTTCACAGCCTTAACCAATCGAAAGTTTTCTACTCTAATCAGCAAACATCTCTTTTATAAGAAAAATCTCTGTTTCTCCCTTCTGGATTATATTCAATAAAGTTTTTTAGGATTACAGTACTGGTCTGCATCAAAATATATAAAGGCTGCCTAAAACATACTTAATAATACAATATATACTAATCTGCCTCTTATTTAGAGTTGATAGATTAAGTAAAAATGGCAGGGATTTTAAATACAAACCTGAATATTATCATTTATTAACAGAAAGTAACTGAATTTAGTGAAATAATAAATTTGTGTTTGTAGGATTGCATTTGATCTGGTAATGCTGTTTTTGTTACATTACATTTGATCTGGTAATGCTGTTTTAAATTCTAACCCTATTTTAGTGTAAAAACGGAAATCAGAAGCTCCAAGTCCTTCCTAATATATAACCTCACCTGTCATGGCTGATATCCAGATATTTTTCTTAAATGGAATCTAATAGGGACAGTTGTGTCTGCAGAGTCAAACAGATGCAAACCATTACCTATTTTTATGCCGTCTGACAAGTGGTCTGCACTTCCGGAAACCCAACATTCTAAACCTTAACTTCAGCAATGACTAGGCTACTTCCCAGAAGCTGATTCCCTGCAACATCAGCAATGTTCATAGTTCTTCAAAACACCAGACTCTGTATGTATATCTGTATGTTACATAAAAATATAAAAATTCCAGTGCATTGATCTCCAAAGTATCAACTCTGTTGTATTTACGTAATTCAATATTGCAGCCAGTATACGCAACAGTTTGTGTTACGTAACTTGCCTAATTTTATGCCAATATCTACTTATGTTTAAACTGTAAAAACATCAAAGTACAAACAACTCCAGTATTTCTTAGGAGAATAATAGGATACAGTCGATTCAAAATGTTAACCCCCTATCTCTTTGGAGTAGCCACACGGTCGTAGTTTAGTCTCAAAGAATATCTATCAAAACCGAACCTTATGCGATTTCATGGGATTTTCAGACTCTAGCTGGTTAATGTATTGGAACACTACCTGTCCGAGTCAAACTGTGATTGGTAAATGTAATTATGACTTTGAAATGCAATGGAAAAACAAAAATGAGAGATACCCCGCCTGTTTTCATGACATTCTTTTCACTTTATTGCGATGCCCTGGGACTGAATATTTGACATTTCAAGGTAACCGTGTACTTTGCTAATTTAAAACGTTGGTTGTCAAAAATCCTTTTCAAACAGGAACTTAAATGTTTTCGCAGCAGAAAATGTAGAACTAATAATAGCTCATACTGATCATGAGGTTTTGAATGTATTAGATTTTATATTTGATTACGCTAAATTTGTAAACAATAAAAAACTTACCTTTCGTGATATGACTGCTTTTCTTCTAGTCTTGTGAAGTAAAATGATATCAAAATGATGCGATTCATCGAAATTATACAGGATTATTTTAAAAGCGGAATGTCAAGTGAATCATTTGTAACAATTATGTATAACAATGTTATTACGTAATAACATTGTTATACATCATTATTACAAATGATTCACTTGACATTCCGCTTTTAAAATACTCTTATCCCAGGATTATGGGATCGCGCATGTTCTCGATATTGACGAAATGAAAGAAAATATTTATAATTTTTAAATTCGCATTTGGAAACATTTAGGATGCTAATTGTGAATCAGGTTAACTTTTCCATTTTTCAAAATAGCGAGTTTATGCAGAAAGCGTTTCGTCTTTTAAAAGATGCAAAGTGTTTATTCATTGTTGTTGCATAGCTTGCATTTCGAAGGCAGCACAACAGTTACGAAACAAAACTGCTACTTATGCTTCCTTGTACGCAGGTATCGCTGGGCATTGCTAACTGCTAATATTCCGTTTAATGGAATTCTGCGAGAGAAAACACGGGAAAGTGATCCGACCACTTTCCCTACGAGTTTCCCTACCATCAACTTCTCGAGAAGATTTCGGTTCACCGTGTATTTTGAATGCTCCTTTACCGCACAAACACTATACACTTGCAAATATCCATGTCTTCTCCAGGATACGAACATCCACGGCTTATGACACAGCAGTCAGCGTCACTTTAACCACTATTCCATCTGGGAGGTACGGCAACGCAATACAGATTCATAAAACCATCAGAATTCTAAGATAATATAGACAGTCTTATAACACTATTTGCCAATGTGCAGGCAAAAGCCCGGACAGCCAAGTGCTTCTAATAAAATACTAGATAAAGGGAAAGTTTCCCGCATAGCCAACAAAAACAAAACGCGATAGCCCTTAACTTAATGTTCTGCAATCAGTGATTTAGAAGATATTATGACGGTGTTTCCAAATAAAACTTTAACCACATTCAAATGTTGCACTATTACAGCCAAATGATAATATAAATTGACACAAAGTCTGGACTCGCATGCAAGAAGCAAGACAGAGATTTTGGCGCCCTCCTAATATGCAGCGATGAAGTGGTTTTTCGTTTGTGAAAAAAAAAAAAAAAATTCAGAATATCTTGACACGGAGCGTGGAAAATTCTCACGTAGTCGCTGAACTGCACGTTCACCAAAACTTCATTTCATACATAAATATATATGGACCCCTTTTTTTTTCTTCTACAATACTGTGATTTGTAAGTCGTACCATGATATTTGTTACATTTGGGGTTATTTCCTGAAATGAAAGGCGATTAAAAAAATTTCATGTTCCAGCAACAGGGGGCTCGATCTCAATGGGGCAGCAAGGCACGTTGTTCTCTGAATCATGAGATCTCGCGTCACTGGAATAATCATGTCCTTCCACTGGCAGTCATATTAGAGTATTTCCTAAAACTGCTTTGGAGAACATGAGCAAGGAAAAGTTACACTGCACGTGTCTCTTATTACATGACACACATCGAATTGGATACCGTTTCCGATGTGTGTCATGTGAGTCCATAATTCCATATAACACTAATTTCTTTACGCCATACTTTTAGCAGAGCATTCCATAATATTGCTGTACAGTGGTGTTTCGGTACATATTTATTAATCCGTTTCAGATCCTTCGACATTTACTAAACGATCTTTTCCGATAAGAAATAAAAGGAAACTAATTAATACACTCTTAATTAAAAAACTAGTGTTATTTTTATAAAACTGCTGAATAATAAATTACAAATACAGTAAATGAATTTATACTGTACGTCAATGAATCACTGCACATGATATGGTACATATACATTTTTCTGCCATCCAGATCAAAAGTAATTTTTCAACATGCCCTAATAATCTCGGTTCTTTGTTTGAAATTGTTTGTTTCACACCGACAGCTAAGTCCTAGATACGTATGCCATTTCCGAACTTTTCAACAATCTCTTTTCTTCATCTGCATTATAATCCTGTAAAGTTTCTTCGCTACTTATCACTAACCGTCCTAAAACTCATTGTTTATGTATTTACAAATAAATTACATGAAAAAGCTCAAAACCACAGAAATATAACGCAGGCTCTTTACTAAATAATAGCAACAGGCATACTGACGCTTAGGTGCTATTGTAGCATTGTCTTGAAAGAAGTAAACAAATGTAGTTCGCAAAGTCGTGCTCATCGAACTCGAATTCCATCCCAAACAAATATCGTATACCAAATAAATCATTTCGCGTTGAAAAAGCATACATACCAAGTTGGACGTATTTCAAAACGGACTTACCAAGATGCCACTTATTTGGAAGCATAGGAGGTATGTGTTCTACCGGCAGCACGTGATATACCATATGTGCTGGATGACATTCGGAGCTCGTGACTTAAGTGATTATGGCAAGACTCCAAAATAAGTAGAACGTTTCTTTAACTATAATTTGGCACCTCTAATTTCATGTCTTTGTGCATTATTCTGTTATCAGAAAGGATATACAGTGGTGGCCAAAATTGTGGACACTTTTGGACATTTTTATGTTTTTGAACTTTGTATGCTTATAGAAAACGTTACGTTTCACAAAATGCGTATATATCATTTTAAAGAGAATTTATAACTGAATTCAATACAAAACACAAAATTCAATTATTTGCAATACAAAAAAAGTTAAACGATAATAGTTATCGATATATACATTAGATAGTGATTATTACAGTGAGTTATCAGTACTTAGTAGGGTACCCTTTATTTTTGATTACAACTTCACATCGACGTTTCATTGAGCTGACAAGAGTTTTAAGCTCTTCTTTCGTTATTACATGATGCCAGGAAACAATTATAGCCTCAATTAGTTCCCTTTTATTTGATGGTCGCCTCATTCGGACAAGAGTTTTCAAAACGGTGCCCACAAATTTTCGATAGGATTGAGGTCAGGACGTTTCCTGGCCCTGACAACAATTTAATGCTCTTTGTACGAAACCACTCTTTCGATATTTTGGCCGTGTGGCAAAGAGCAGAATCCTGCTCTGAAAAATAAACGAAAGCATTGTTGGGAAAGAGATCTCTGAGGAAGGTAGAAGTTTTGGTTCTAGAATATTATCAATTATTTTCTGGCATTCAGTGTCCCAATCGATGACATGAAGGCGACAATACCATCTGCTGACATGCATGACCAAATCATAACACTAACTGGGTTCTTCAGAGTTGCTTGAATGCAGTCAGGATGTAGCTCTTCTCCTATTCTACGTCTTACATATTTTCGCCCATCACTACCGAATAACGATATCTTAGTTTCATCACTCCATATAACTTATGACCACTGATCATCTGTCCAATTAATGTGTTCCCTTGCCCACTGTAGTCTTTTTTTTTTTTTTTTTTTTTTCGTTGCTGAAAATTAAGATAAGGATTTTTTCGTGGAATTCTACCTCTCAGTCCAACATCTGTTATCTTCTCCTGATTGTTCTTGAACTGACAGAAAACACCAGCATCATTCAGATCACTTCTGATGGCCGCTGATGACATTTTTCTATCTTGGAGACATAGTCTTTTTATTCTTCTGTCATCAATAGATGTGGTGCACCTTTTTCGGCCTTTTCCTTCTTTGTTTTTTTATTGAATTTGTCTCCTGATATCGTAAACAAAACTTGAATTTGTCTCCTGATATCGTAAACAAAACTTTCGGACTCCAGATGTAGTCACTGAACCACCCACCTGTCTTGCAATTTCAGCATAGGAAAGACCACTTTCTCTTAACACAATAATATTACATCTCTTCCAAGGTGTACAATCTACTCTTTTATTTGATGTCATTGCTTCTTGACTAAATATTAAAAATTTTTACAAAAATTCCTACTTGTAATTGCAGTGTATAAGAAACAGGTCCTCCTTCTACAGAACAAAGCAAAATAATGAATTGTTTCAAGTGTAAAACATGATGTCAGCTTCAGCTTCTACTGGGCAGTTACTAACATTTGATTGGTTCTCAGAACAAGAACAGTGATTGGCCAGGAAAGCTAGACATTACAAACCACTTCATAACTGTGTTTTTTATTTATATTAAAGTGCATATAACTTTTTTGTATTGCAAATAATTGAATTTTGTGTTTTGTATTGAATTCAGTAATAAATTCTCTTTAAAATGATATATACAAGTTTGCAGTTTGCGAAACGTAACATTTTCTATAAGCATACAAAGTTCAAAAACATAAATTTTCCAAAAGTGTCTACAATTTGGGCCACCACTGTACATATAACTTTCACCTTTCAGTGATATTTGTAAGCATGCAAGGAGTATAACTGAGTGCCAGTTAAATAAATCCTATACGAACACAAACCTACCACAACCTGTGCATGTCTCTTGTGCAACAGGGACAAATGGATTCATCACGTTTCTCCATGAATCCATTCAACTACCGAAACTGTTGTAAATGCGACTGGTCAGGTTAAGCTATTCGTTCCCGGTCATCAAGGGCCAATGCCTGCGTTCTGAGCTACAGAACTCTGTACATTGTTTTCATCAAGAGTATTCCAGTTGGATTTCAACTTTTAAGGCAGATATAATGAAAGAAACTGTTAAATATTATTTGAGGTTACAGTGATGTAGCCTTAGCATATGAAATTATTTTGGCGTGTTCATCCAAGTTTTTTATGAACATACTGCTGTCGTAAGTTCAGCGTCCTGTAGGGATTTTGGAGTCACAAAACATTTTCGAAATGATCACATGTGAAAATCCAGAGTTAGCATCTACCTCTGAAATGGTACGATTCATATCCAAGCACTGATTACTATCCATACCCAGATAATCTGAGCCTAGAGCTGCAGGTTTAAGGCTACCCTGAAATTTTCCTACAACTTCTTAAAGCTCTGTTTCCCACTGAACAAAGAAACATCTGAAATAACTCAGTATTCAAGGCGCCAGATTATTCTAATTTAGCATTATCCACCTCACGAGCTCCAACTAAACATTATTAAAATTGTTTGAATCGTAAAACATTCAAAGTGAAAATCTGTAAATTACGCTCCGAAAACGGCACGTTTGTATAAATTTTTATTATTTACGATACGTTTCCAGTAACATGCACAGGCAATGTTATTGTATATTCTGCACTACACAAGTTTTTGGCATTTCAGGAAATATTCACATTACTTAACTTGAATTCACTTACTTCAGTTCCGATTCAGATTTAGGTGCAGTTTCATTTTTAGTTTCGTCTTCTCTTTCAGCGATGTAAACCTGTTTGATAAACATACATTAAAAAAGGCAAAACCACATTATTGCTCTCGAAAACATTTTTCTAATGGAATATTATTTTCAGTGTTGTTCACATAACGTACAAGTAGATAAATATATATATTAGATACTTTAAGTACTCTTATAATGACCAACATTCTAAGATCATTCCTGTGAAAGTGACTAGTATTTATGTGAATTAAAAGGACAATGATACTGCACATCACGGATATTCATGTTATCTTAACAGCATCCACAGAAGACTGAACATCAAAATCATTTGGAAATGTGAGAGTCATCTTAAGAAGATTTTACGGAATCGTTCAGTTCATTTGTTCTATTGAATGTAAGAATTAATTAGAACTTTTTTGCTTCCAATTTATATTCCAAAGTGATACAAAAGATTCCTGAACTGCATTCGTCCATCACCCATTTTAAAAACCAAGGAAAACCCAATATGATACGCCATTTCGGGTGGTATAAAGAAAGTAGGACTAATATCAAAACAGACAAAGTTATGTTAGAGTGCAGTCCTAATATACAAACTTAATTCGTTCCTGAAGATAGTTCGTCATCCGAAATATTTGCAAACGAATTTTCCCATATGAGTTAATGCAAAATGAATTAATCCTTTTCCAGACTCTAAATAGTTGTTTAGGAAAGAATAGAACCAATGGATTTCATTAAATCTAATACCTACACAACAATATTAACATACACACACACACACACACACACATATATATAACAAACATTCTCAATTCGTAAAAGCAAATTTAAAGTTATACATTGCTTATCACAGTACGAAATACAAAAAATATCAAAACTTGAATTAAATTTTATTGTTTGAAATGAATATCTTATTTCGTAAAAAAACATCAGATAACTGCTTTTTATGTTTTTTTTTTTTTTTTTTTCCTTTCCATTTCTCTTAACACCGCTTGCCTAAACTTGAGAATCGTTGAGCCTTTATTCCATTAAAAATTTATCTACTGTGATTTCTTTCTATTTAGGTTTTAAAATGTTTTTAAAGCAAGTAATTACAAATATTGATGGAATTTTCAAACGGCTTTATCAGGGTGATAATGTTGTATGAATCTTTGCACCTTTTCCCATTTTACTTTAAATTTAGCGGATCAGATAGCCAGGAACTCCTCTCTTTTCGTCTTCTTCATCTAAAGACATTTCCTTCAACTGCATTTTTGTCGTATCATTTGTTGCCGGCTTACTTGTTGTTATCTTGAGACATCGTTGGTCATACAAGAAATTTTCCGTTTGGAAATTTTTTTTTGTGATCTAAGGCGTTCGTGAACCAAGGTTCCATTGCAATTCCATGCAACGCATTAAATATAGTTACATAAAGTTAATCAACAAAGTAATTTTTAAGAAACAGAATTGAAATTTTCATGCGCTTGTTTTACGACAGAATGCTCTAAATTTAGAAATCTCTCTCTCCTTTTTTTTTTTTTTTTTTTTTTTTTTTTTTTTTTTGTCTTTTTACGAAAAGGTTGGGAAAAAAATGAAGAAAAAAGAGCAAAGCAACAAAACCAAGTGGTGTAAACGATCAGAGATATCATTTCTTGGGTCATTTCCAAATCTTATTTGTTCGCACTTTATTGACCGGAACATGGAGAGCTCTTTTTATCGTAGTGATTTTGTAGCAAATCATGCAGTTCATTAATAACGCAGTTAAGCATTCAATAGCTGCATTACACCTTTGTTATTTATCAACAAAATAATACTGAAAATATTTACATTGACAAATATGCTCTACTTATAACAAAGAATTTAAACTGAAATCTAAATGCCTCCAGTTTCGTAGTAATGAAAAATAATTCGAGTAAAAGTAAACGAGCAATAATTTAAATTGTAATGGTGTATTAATGTCACTATTATGGATTCTTCAATGCGCTTAAAGATATGATGCACAACAATTTGACAATAAGATGGAAATTACAATCAAAAGAAAATTAATGCGATGCATTAAAAAAAAGAGAAACTTTAAGAGAGTGATCTCTTTTTTTTTCTTCTTGTGATACGAAACATCAAAAGAATGCAGTATAAGTATATATATAGTACATATAGTATAAGGTATTTCTCCCACCTTCTTCGAGTGCCTTCGTGGTGTAGTGGTTTTGCACGCTGGGCCGGTATTCCAGAGGTCCGTGGTTCGATTCCCGACGAAGCCGTTGCATATTTTTCATCTTGCTTGTTTCCAAAAAAATAACCTAATGTCTCTACAGTGGCGCCCGAACTAAAAAGGGTTTGGATGATGATTCTCCTCACCCAGGATTTGGCGATTGTGTCCCATAAAAACCTCAGTTTCCCTTTAAAAGGATGAGTATGTAAGGTATTTCTTCCACCTTCTTAGCGTGCCTTCGTGGTGTAGTGGTTTTGCACGCTGGTCCGGTATTCCAGAGGTCCATGGTTCGATCCCCGGTAAAGGCGTTGCATATTTTTCCTCTTGCTTGATTCCAAAAAAATAACCTAATGTCTCTACAATTGTATTCAAATTAAATATAACAGGCACTAATTTTCAAGAACATGTAACTTAGGAACTATGCGTGATTGGACACGAAAGATTTATGACCTTTTTAATGCCATATGTTTTCAAAAACTGTATATTTTAAGAAAAATCTTTGCATCAAATCAAGTTTGAGTTCCCAAATGCTAAAGTTTACGATATTGCAAAATATTTAATAAAAATATGATTCACAGCGAATCATTTTCAAACAATCGCTTCTCTAAGATCATCAATTCTAAAAGTTACTTGTACTTTTGAGGTCGTATAAAATATCGATTGGGAATTTTATGCTAAGCATAACGTTAAGCATCGCATTCAACTTAAAAATGCATTTATAGTCCTCATCGTACAAATATAAAAAACTAGATTAAGAGGATAGATAATCCCAGTATTACCTTTTGTAATCTGCAATATCTAATTATTATCATCGACAACATTACGCATCTTTTACCTCGAAATACTTTTTGGAATATATCAAATAATTATAAAATTATACATTTTCCTTTACTTAAATGTATTGTAAATCATGCAGGTAGTTGACAGAGAACTGGTTTATCATAAAGTAAAATACAACATCAGCATCAGTACAATAAGCATAACAGAAATTTATCGGATATACTAAGGTAGCAAAAAGGCTTCACTTTGAAGATGAGCAGGGAAAGGGTACGTCAGACTTTGATTGGATATGTCAAACTTTTATTTTCTTTCTTGCACTTATTACTACGCATTTAAGATAAAGAGACGTTAAAGATTGTCTATATCAATAAATAATCTAAAATAAATATTTAGAAGTTGATTAGTTAGGCTCTAACTCCTGCTGTGGATACAAGTAAATTAGCTAGCTCAAATTTTAATAAAAAAAGGTGTTATCAAAATTCCAAAGTGAATTATCACTACAACAATTTCTCAGTTTAAGTAAACAGACACATGCGACATGCGACATGCGACGGGGGACGTGGGCACCACCCCTTTACCGTCGGTTAATTGGTGTAGCGCCACGTCCACCAATATCTAGAGTTGAACCTTGAGTCTTTCAAAAGAGCAATTACATGGCCATACAAGGGCTGTTAATATTTAGTATTACATTCTTGTTTGCTGGTTAACATATTCTATGGATAACGTGATTTACAGAGTTACATACTGACTTTGTCTCTCATTTCCGGCATACAATGCATATGCATTACCTGAATTACATTAATCTTACATTGCGTTGGATTACTTTTGTGTACAGTTACAGTTTTTAGCTGTATATTTCAATAAATATACCTACATTACTTGTAGATTGCATATAAATACAGTTTGCATGTACAGTTACATATGCCAATATTACATGTGCCTTGCGTACATTATTTTTATATACATACATAGTCAGGCACGCCTGCTTCACATATTACTTAATTTTACCTACACTGCTTAAAACTTAGGTTACATATACTTGCAGTTGCATATAGATACATACAGATACATTCTGATTAAATTTTTTAGATACAAATATTTACAAACATAATAGTCTTACAGGTTACTTACATTACATGTTATTTGGGTACTTATTGCATAATTTTCCAGTACATGAAATAGACATTCCAATACATACATTGCTTTGCGTTAGACATCCTATATCCCTTATTCATAATACAAAACTATATGTTACCCATGCATTTTTATTAGACATTCTGCATTTATATTGCATTACTTTAAATTGCATAACTTACTTATACATAGCTTACTGATACACAAAAATATTTACATATATTACACTCCCTTACATTACTTTGCTTACAGATATATGCACTTTCATACATTCGTTATGCCTACATTATATATCGGTTCATTATATATGGTCTTACGGTATAATTTGCCGAAATTTATTTACACAGTACATGCACATTGTTAAATGCAACTGACTTTCCAGGTATGAATACATGCAGTCTTTATACTGTGAGTTTCTAGTCTACATTATAGTTTCTTACAATTCACTTGAATGACAGTTTTCCTACATTGCAATACATGTCCTTTTTAAAATGCTTAAGTTGTTTTTACATGCTGGGTTGTTCTATGGCTGACACAAGTCTGTATCTAAGTCGGACAGTCTGTCCATCAACTGTACCAGCTTTTTAATAAAGTGCCGCTGTTTTATCATATATTTACAGAACGGCTGGCGATTTGTTTCAGGGAGATTGATATGCAGTCCTTCTGTTAATGGGCATGACGTTAGATAGTGCTCTGGTGAGCCTGAGTCGCCGCATGCACATTGACTTGGTGTGACTTATGCCACGCTTGAAAGAAATATTCCGGGTAGGGCCCATGCCCGGAAATGAACCTTACCAACTGTGCGTTCGCTACATTTCGGCTAGTGTCCACATAGCCGATGAAGTAGTGGGTCCTTCTCCCTGTGGTGCTTTGGTCCCATTCGTTCTGCCACATGCCAGTAGCCCTTAGGCGTAGTGTCTTCTTTAAATACGAATGCGGCCATGGGGATGATAATTGGTGCATCAGGCGGGGTCAGTTGTTGCCTCTTTGGCGAGTTGGTCGGCAAGTTCATTGCCATAGTGGCCAACATGAGCCTTTATCCACTCTAATTTTGTGCGGTACTGGGGGTTACTTCTAAGATCTCTCTGGATTCCCTGTATAATCTCCGAGGGATGATCTGCATTCCAAATGGCATATAACGATGATAAACTGTCCGTTTTTAATGGTGACATGGCTATGCTGGTGCGAGTGCAGGTAGCGAATCGCTTGTGCAATTGCCACTGCTTCGCTTTGAAAGACACTGTTATGTTGTCTTAACTGTCCCTTCCATTTCTCGATTGCGTTGTCTTGTTTCGTGGCGACATAGGCGCATCCCACTCTTTCGTCCAATCTAGACCCGTCTGTATAGATGGTCATTTCCCTTGAGTGATGAGTTGCAGTGGGATTAATTGAGATAAGTATCCCTTTGCCTTTCTCTGCCGGGTGGACGTCAAGAGGGCAGAAGTTTGTTTCGTACTCATCCGGGTAGTATGTTCATCATCAAAAGTAACTGCCTTCTTAAGTTGCAAAATGTGTTGGCGTGCTGCCTCCTCCTCAACCCGGATGTGCAGGGGAAGGAGACCAGCAAGTACGTTAATGGCATCGGTGGAGGTGGTGCGGTAGGCCCGTGTGATTCCCAATGCGAATGGTCGTTGTATGCTGTTAAGATGTCTGACCTTCCTTCCTTGCATTGGGTAGGCCCATACTGAGGCAGCATACGTCACTATCTTCTCGATGACTGTCGTGTACAATACCTTTTGAATATGGGGGTTAAGACCCCATTTGTGACCATAAAAGAGTTTCATTTGTTTTGGCTATGGCTGCCCGTCCGGAGTTTGAGATCCTGCACGTCAGGGATCCAGGTCATCTTATGATCAAAAGTGACCCCTAAATATCTTAGCTGGTCCACTATCTGCAGACGTTGGTTGTTAATCTTTATGGTGGGGCGTCTTACTAAGGATCCTCCTTTTTTCGGAATTAAAAGGACTTTTGACTTATGTTCTGCAATTGTGAGTTTAAGTTTGGTACACTGGTCATGAAAGATCGCGCAAACTTCATTGCAATTTTTCTGTAATTTTTCTCGCGTGGCACCCTTTACAATAAGCGCCGCGTCATCCGCGTATGCAATGATTTTAGTGTGCGCCGGCCACGTCGCTGACAGTACTTCATTGAACGTTAAGTTCCATAAATGCAGCCCGGCGCACGATCCTTGCGGACATCCTCTAGTTTGCACCTTTTCGATAATGCCTGCATTATGCACCGCTAATAGCTTCCGATCCTGCAGGTAGTTGCTTATTATACTATATATGTTACTTGGGCAATTGGCCCTTCGTAATGCCTGCTTGATAGCCGGCCACCACAGCGTATCGAAAGCATTCTTTAGGTCTATGCTGACCATAGCCGTGTGGTGGCCGCTGTGTCTATTTTCCAGAATTGTCTCCTTTATATTATGGAGAGCATGCACCGTCGATGAACCAGTCCTGAAGCCATATTGGCTGCTGCTGAGATAACCGTTGAGATGCAAGTGGTGGCGCAGTCTGTTGATGATTAGCTTTAAAGCCTTTCAGATTTATTCTACGTCACCACTTGAGTGGGATTAAATTAAAAGGTCCAAAAAAGTTACCAGTTAGCCGGGCCTGGCTTAAAACACAAAAGTTCCTTTCACAATGGTTATAAATGCAACAATTCAAATCTGATTCTTCAAAGATTAAATCTAAATTCAGATCTTGTCTAGAGATTAAAAGCTAGTCTAGCCTTCCGCAGAATTCAAGCTTACCACTTACCAAAATCTAATCTATATTTAATCTACAAGATCGACATTAAGACTACCGGTAGAGTCGCCGACAGACTTTATTTTAACCAGCAAGGCAGCATGGGACCGCAAGCACACCTATTCATAATTCCCTAAATCTTAACAGTAAAACTGTTTGCCACTCAAATCTGCATAAATGTTGGCATGAGCGAATCTTGTGGCAAAAGGAGGCAGAAAGGAAAGAAGTAAATTAAATAACATTTAGTTCATAAAACGTAAATGCCACAAGACAAAGTTTATCGTTACAATATATCTTAAAGATACTTTCTAATCTTACTTTAAGTGAAACTATCATTTGTTCATGTTACACATAACATAAATTATGGAGATGCCATATCAACCCATTCTCCAGGAGACGAAACCTTAACGAACTATTATTTTACAGAGGTTTGAGACACGCGGCCACTAAAGGACACAGAAACAATTGTAGCAACACTTGCTAAGATTAAAACACTTCCAAACGGAAAGAAATTGAAAGGAAAATTTGCTTACCACTAGCGGAGTCGAGTTTTTCAGGGTTTCTAAAAGCGAATCTTTATCGTTCATGATTTCTTTCAATTGAAGGAGCAAACTGATGCTAATCCCGTGTTTTGTTTGTATTTTTCTTAAATTTTCTTTAAATTTCCTGTTTTCATCTTCGTACATTAAAGTTTGACGATCGACCATATCTTGAAGATGAGCTTGTTGACTCTGAAATAAAAAGAAAAAACTTACATTCTAAACCTTTATGCTACAATTTATATCTCAAATGAGATACGGAATTTCTTTATATATAAGATTGTTTTTTAAAGTTTGGGAATAATACGATGTCATGTAATACTGTTTAGGTTTCTCAAGAACTTTGTTGACGTATTAATAGAACTCACGTTTAGTGCTTCAATGAGCATTTTATCATCATTAGTTTTGCTTATAATCCCAGACAAATCATCTTTTAGCATGGAGATTTCTGCAACTAATTGGTTGTTCCTAGTTTTCGATTCATCCAGTCTGCTTCTTAAATTGACTTTCTCAGTCTGCCGCTCACGCAGTTCTCTTTCCATTATCTAGAAAACAGAAATTTTATAAAAATCTTGGACTTAATTGATCTTTTTTATTATAAAACGAATTTGAAAAATAAAATCTAAAATATATTTTAGGCTTACATACGGTATTCCAACAAGAATAATATGGTTTTTAAACAAAATGGTAACATGTTTAAAATATTATCCCCCCTACAGGAAGAAAACACAGGAAGGCTTCAATGCTGCCACGTAGTCAACTCGTAACGTTATTTACAGAAAATAGAAATAAATATTTCTAATTACTATGTGAATTTTTGTATAATTACTAGATTATGACTCTAAAGTAATTGAACTTCGTGGGAATATTAATAATACATTTATAGCTCTTGGAAAACTTAAAAATTACTTTTAAATTTATTTCATCATGCTATATGTAATAAAAATTATAAATTAAAAATGTTAGGTACCAATAAACGACAAAAGGATATCACATAAGAACACTAAAAGAGGAAAAATATCAACCTCAAATTATTCTAAGTTACTTTTTTAACCGACCTCTCAAGGCAAGCAGCAAAAGAAGTAAATTTTAAAATTAAAAATCTCAGTTAAGTAATCAAAATATTTTATGGTTTACATTTTATAATGAATATAAACTTTTTTTTTCACAAAATATAGATAGGTACAGAGAGATCATATAAAAAGTTAGATTTTGTAATTTTTACAAAGCTGATTTTTTTTAATTCAAAACTACCTAAACATGAATATTAACGCCATCTAAAAGACGTTGTCATTCAAAATATATGTCTGTAAACAGCGGTTGCGAAAATAAAGGTGGAGTAAAAATTTTTATAGACACGATGTATATGCTTGCTCGCACTTGTGCATTCTTTGCAGGTAGGACTCTGTCGACAGCTGTATTTCTGTACTACTGTGTTCTTTCTATATTTTAAGAAATGAACATTGACTACGACTTGAATACAACATTACGTTAAAATACTTAAAGCAGAGGATAAATTATTTTAAAATCAAACTCAGTATTCCCGGGAAATTTGTCTTAGAAGAATACTTATAAATTATAACAATTTTCAGAAACTGAACAACAGCAAGAGTTTCATAAATGTGCAAATGCGATTTCAAACTAAAGTTTATGATTGATTGCTTACCGGATATGTTTCTTGGATGTGTTGGTCATCTTTACTTTTTTCTACTAGCCTTTCTAGCTCCAAATGAAGCACTTTAGCTTGCTGTTTTAGTTCTTTGTTTTTGCATTTCCAGGCTTCAACTTTCTTCTTTTTCTCGAATGTTCTTGCTATTAAATCGTTAAGTTCCACCATGTTCTAATGAAGCAGATAAAATGCACAACTTCAAAATGTACTATTCATTTTCTTAAATTCTAGTTGTACAAATCAAATACGTTTAAAAATTCTAATTTGAAATGAAATTCTAATATAAAATACTTAGTAAATATAAATGCAATTTTATTTTAAAAAGAAGGCATAAAATGTTTCGAATCCGGAGAACTTTTAAATCAAACTTAACTCAACTACGGCTTCGTCAGGATTTGAACCAACGATCTTCTTCCAGCTGTTAGATGGACCTGCTAGCCTTTCATACTAAAGCGAGCACAAAACTATGCTTATTTCCTTACATTTTCTTTTTTTTTAAAGAGAGACAGGGAGAAGAACAAAACTCATCTCCGATGGTTACGAACTATCCTTCACTATATTTTTATTTCGGACGCTAATATTTTTTTAGTTATTAGTCTATTTTAGTTATTAGGTTATTATTTTTTTTAAGAAAGAAGAATAAAAAAATCATTTGTACTACTTTCGCCAGAATTCAACCACAAATCTTCCAGCTGGTAGTTAGGTATGCTGATACCTTGAGACTACGAATGAGATAATTTCTTACATTCTTCCCCTATTTAATAGGGAAATAGGGAAGATACGAAACACACCCTACCAAATGCAAAAGGTAATTCGTGCACAACAGTGAATTATTAATTCGTCAATATGATGTGTGTGGACGCCATTGTGAAGACTATTTGATTTCCAGAGCTAACTTGAAGTATTTATGTCATGATAATATGAACAAAACGCAATAATTAATTTCAAAGTTTCGTTTTGTATTGATTTTAAATGAAAAGTCATGCAGTGCTTTCATTCGAAATCAACCGAAAATGGAATATGACTTCAATCCATCTTTGAAAACAAAATATTTTGTTCATATTCTTTATTTTGAATATGACTGCATAACTTTTTTTTCAGTACATATTCATAAAAATCTGATATCAATAGATTTTAATTTTGGGCTTTCATGCATATAGTTAATATAATGATGTGATATAAGCTCTGAATTTTAGTATTCTATCTGAAAGCTCAAGAACAATACTTTCTTCTTACTTCTTAAAGTACAGTATAACTACTTTTCAGCAATAACTCTTCATGATATGAATATGTTGTACTTTCTCCCTATTTCCCTATTCCCTTTCTGATGAATATTTTGTACTATATTTTTCTGAATTATATTCAGATTTGAGATTGAACTCATTCATTCCTTAGTTATACCATATAATATCCAAAGAACTACTCAATTTCAGTGCCAACATTGCGGAATATTTTTTTCCTCACACTTGAAAATAACTGAACCTGTATTCATGTAGCATCGAAACTCAGAGTACGTTCACAGATGGCAGTTCACAGTTCATTTTATGACGGTGTTAGATGCATTTAGGACGTCTTACACGAAGTGATAAAGTGGTGCGCATTACAACCGTTTTTTCTTGAAACATACATTTCAACGCACAGCGTTGTTACTTTTCGAAACGTTCTCAGCATTTGCAATAAAATTAGTCTTACATAACGTGTCAAAATGGATCATGTGGCAAATTTCAGAATGTTCCCACTATGTACTATAATGGACGTCCTACACGACGTGATAAAATTGTGCGTGTTACAACATGACAGCTAAACTAGTATTATGTGTTACAATTACGTTTTTAGAACGAACATTTCAGCATAAAACACAGGCATTTTTAAAAATATTTCCAGCAAAATAAGATACAATATACAAGCAATAAATAACCATCAAAAGAAGTTACACATGCACAAACAATACACAGCGTACTAATATAATATGTACTACAACCGTGTCCTCTGGGTACCCACATTCCATCGTACAAGCTGGTACTTCGAAGTACAAATATCTCTATCTCTTCAAAGTACAATATCTCTATCTCTTCAAAGTACAATATCTATCTCTTCAAAGTACAATATCTCTAAAATTCTAAAATAAAAATTGAGAAAAACTGAAAACAAATCTTTTCCTGCACACAAGCCAGCTTTAAAAAAATATTTAAGGGAGTAAGTATCCAAATTCTTTGGTGCGTTTTCATCTCAATTTAATGAAACACAGTTTTATTCAATAGAGTGAAGCCAGGTAAAAATGAACTAAAACGAAACACCATCAATTGATTTAGTAGTATAAATAACAAAAAATAAAATAAACATAATCTTTTTTCTATCTGATATACTATTTATAAAAAAGTCATATTTCGTTATTACAGTGCCTCTACGTTAAGACAGGCTGTACCAAATGTCTAAACAGCGGTCACGCAAAGTCGAGATATTCCGACATGGTGAGGTTTGAGCTCTGAGCTGCCTCTCCATGACATGCCAAATGCGCTATATTAGGTTAAGATTCGGCGAGTTAAGTAACCAGGACATAATTGGAATTCATCTTTATGCTCCTAGAATCACTTCAACACATTTCGAGCCTTGTGATATGGGGCGTTTTTCTGCAGGAAGATTCTATTTCCAGTTGGGAAGAGAGACGCCATATAAATGCGCAATTGATCCGCAGTTATATTCAGAGAGTCCGTAGCTTTCATAGCCTGTTCTACTACAACTAAGGGTTCCTCAGGTGCTCATGAGAACGTCCCCCAAAGCATAACACCGTCACTACCAGTCTTTGTATGACCTGCTGTACAAGGTAAGGAGCAACTATTCGCCTGGAAGACGGAGTACCCTGACATCATGAATAAGAAATCGTGATTCGTCCCACCAGGTAACTGTCTTCCATTTATTCATACAGTGTGTTACAGTCTCGATGTTTCCGGGCCTACTTACTGCAAGCGTAGTTAACGATGATTTTTAAGTTCTAATCACATTATGTTTCGACTACTCGGGACTGTATGTCGAAAGGAACAATTCTCAGAACCCGCACATTTCCAGGAAACCCACGTAGCTAGGTTACCATTTTCACTTACTACAAAGACTTGAACGCCAAACAGTAATCGATTCTCGCTCAGATTGGGATTTCGGTATCTTCAGAAGCAGAACTTCCCTCTGATTTGTTGACACTACCCGGGTCAGAGCTCCAGCCGAGATATTTTCGGTGAGGTTTGAAAAAATCCAGCGTATCCGCTACATCGTTTCCGTAGCTAGGCGGGACTTCACTTCCAGCGAAGCTCTTTTTTTCTGGTAATCCCCCCGTTTAAACCAGTGTTACCAAAATCTCGTTTGTCAGAAAAGTCCTGTGTAGCAGGGACGGTCGCTAGAAGTGATACTCCCTTTAGACAACAAAGGCACACAAGTGAGACGTCTGTTGCGAAATCCTATATCCAGCAGAGTCCGCTGAGCTGTATGTTCCAAAAACACATGCACTTGGATCTGCATTTTATTGGGCTGTCAGTTGAGCCGCTGTCTGGAGCCGATTTTGCTGCATCAAGCGGGATAGTCTCCGACGTCTTTTTTCTTTGATGAAGCGTGTACGTCCAACACTTTGGCGTCTACCGCTGGTTTTACCGTCATTTATCCAATTTACATAATACTAATAACAGTAGATCGTGAACAACCCACCAGTCTTGCAGTTTCAGTGATACTCCTGCCGAGTCTTCGGGGGATTACAATCTCCGTCTAGCAAATTCACTTGGATCAGCAGCCTTTCCTCATCACTCGCAAAAGTAAGTGCGAGAATGATTCCTTACCTTGTCCAACAGCAGTTAAATATCATTCCTACTTAATCTAATTCCCTTTGTGTCATCCAGACGAGTTCATTGAAAAACGTGAGGATGGTCATAATGTTTTCGCTCTTCAGTGTATACTCCTATTTTAAAAAAATGTTCGAGCATTTTTAAAATTAAATAAACTAATTTTGTGAAAATTACGAAATCTAACTTGCTATACATGCCTCCAATCCTTACACTTATGTTTAGGACAATTTTGCTCTTCTTATAAAAAATAAAATATAAAAAGTATGACTCCCATGCGTCGAAAATTGACTGAGATATTTATTATTAAATTCAGGGATCGCATCTATGAGCCGTAAACAAATGAAGAATGAAATGCATACATAACCAAAAATAAAATATCAATTTAGAAAAAGGTTTCTGATGTTAAGAGATTAAGTGGTGAGTATTTCTACACAGATTATTGTTAAAAGTATTTATCAATATAATTTTTTCAAAATGGAGACCTTATTACCAGAATCTTATAGAATTCATATTCTAGAAATCACTGGTAGGCTTCAGTTTTGACACGTACCAAACTCTTAATATTATTTGCGTTATTAAAGATAAAAATATTTGTAGTTTAATGAATGTTTTGTACGATAAGCAGATTTTTGATTCTGAAGTAATGAAACTTCACATGAATATTAATGAACTTGTTTCAGACTTAAAAATTACTTGCGTGAAAATCATTTCTGAATACCAAATGCAACAAAATGATGAATTAAAAACACTACATAATCAAAAAAGGCTATCATTGAATGGCATTTAAGGGGAAAAAATCAATCTCGAATTATTCTAATTTATTCAGTAACTAATCCCTCAATGTAAACTGAATATGAAATCAAAAGACGCAAATTCGAAATTAAATACCTCAGTCAGTTTTTATCGTATGGAACATTGTTGTAACAAGTACACATTTTCTTAAATGTAAGTGTAGAGGAAAATGTAAAAAGTCAGATTTTGTAATTTTTGCAAAATTGATTTCTTTGAATTTAAAAATACCAAAAACCTTGAGTATTTGCGTCATTTAAAAATTATTTTTTAAACTGGAACTATATGTTTACGACGAAAGGTAGTGAAAATAAAAGCGGGATAGGAATTTGTGGCCACGGTATGTATTGCAAAATCGGTTGCGGTCGCTTAGCTGCCAATCATTTAGCCGACTAGACATTTAGCCGACACGGACAATCAGTCGAGAGGGCATTTAGCCGAGAGGTACCTTTAGCCATCTAGGACATTTAACCGACAGGTACATTTAGCCAAAGGACATAGTATAACCGACATGGTTAATGTCATTTTTGCTAAATGTCAATGTTGGCTAAGTGTCCTTAGCTAAATGTCACTATCGACTAAATGCCCCTGTCATCTTAGTGTTCCGTTGGCTAAATATCAGTGACTAAGTCTACTTTTAGCTAAATTTCACTGTCGGCTAAATGGTCCTCCTCTCAGTGTCCTGTTGGCTAAATGTCAGATCTCGGCCAAATGCCATGGCAGCTAAGTATCCGTGTCGGCTAACTTCCCGTATCGGCAAAATGTCCTGTCAGTTATCTGCTGTGTTCGTCGGCTAAGTGTCATGGACCTTTATAAAATGTGCGATACATTTCCAAATCAAGAATGAATGTGTGCCATAATGTTAAAAACAAAATAGCGATTAAAACTCAATAACCGAATAAAATTACGTCTCGTATTTGCTGACAATAAGTTTCAAATGAGAAAGACTTGCCTGTCTAATATGTGGACTATTCACATCATGCTTTATTGTAATATCGTCAGCAGGGACTTCCTGTTTCATCTCACACTCTCCACATAGCTTATCTTCTGGGCATTCTCCTTCGAGTTCCTGAATTCGATTCTGAATCTTCTGGATCTGGTTTTTTAGAAATATAATCTTCTCTTGCCGCCCTTTATAAGTGGTGTCTACCCCTTGCATTAACAGAGATGGAAACTCAACTGAAACTCCACCAGCAATTTCCTTATTCATCACCTGCATTTATAAAAATGTATACTATCATTATATAATAAAAACTGGCTAATATCTAATTTATTTATGTTGCCAAGTTTCCGAAATGTTTACAAAGAATCTGGAAATTTTTAAAACAAATGCAGACCCTTCTTATCAAATTCAATATTTGCAATTAAAACACACAATTAACATTATTATTTACCAAGCTTCAGAGGGAAAAAATTTCATTGTAACAGCAGGAGATGGGCATTGCTGCACTCAGAGCCTGATTAAGACAATCTGGGTACATAGACACAGCGCTCCTTCAGGGTAATGCCGACTTTCCTTATTTTGTAAAGAGAAACAACAAGGAATTATAGGATGGATGATTTGGGGGGGGGACTTTTTAAATTCTAGGCCCTATGTCCGAGTTTTGCAATCTAGGTGCAAAACTCGGACTAGTCAAGTTTACGCACTACTACAGAAAAATGTTGCGTTAGCTGGAAATGTCGCATTAGTTAGAATGGAGGTGTGAAGGAGTTTCTTTTTTGTAGGGGAATATTTTAGCTGCACAGAAATTCATAACGGAAATATCTGACGCGCATTATGAACTCAATATTTTCATGATACAGTATCACGACCAGCTTTAGTTAAAACTGTTAAGCAAAATTGAAGAGCTGTGGGAAAAGCAGTGTCATAACCAGTTACAATCAGATTGCTCCATCAGTTCAAAAACGGCCATACTTTCGATCAGCAAAGGTAATCAGCGTCAGAGACAGAAGATATCGTACCGCAATTTAATGAAATTCACAACGGTAGTTGTGTGACAGTATTAGTACTTGTATTGAAGTTGGTTGTGATTGCTTTAAAAAATAATGTGATATATCTGTGTTATATTATATTGCTGTGAGATATTGAATGATTTTTTTTTAAATATAACTTATTCTGAATCCCTTTGTAAATGAAAATAATTACATGACTTCGCACTGCATTCTTGAACTTTTCCTACAACTTAAATTATATGTTCATCTTACCTTTTTGGCTACCAACAGTTCCTTCCGAAGCATTTGGTTTTGATTCTGACAGTCGAGAAGCCTAAATTTCAATCGATGCATTTTTTCTCGAAGCTCCTTTAGAACATTTTCTTCTTCGCTCTAGAAGAGAAACACTATCAGAAAATAAAAAGTACTAGAGACTACTCCAAATCAGACTGAAAACGCAAAAATCATCTGACGTCCAAACAAAATATAAAGTAACTGAAGTTTAAAAAATTATAACATTCATAGCACGTTTTCTTGTTTCTCAAAATTATTTCTCGAGGCATAAAAACAGTATAAAATTTGGCTCGGAACTTTCCCTTTCACTAACTTTTGTTGCCATGTTTATTTTGCAAAAACAAAAAATACATGTCCTTATAAACTGTATCAATGTTAAGAGAAAAAATCTGATGTGTACACCACATGACTTTCTTGTACGGATATTAAATTTGTAAAGTTCCTCACTTTGTAAATCTTAAGTTAGAGTTGAACGTGAAGAATCTTAAGAACTGATAAGCGAATAATCGCTTGAGTTCGTGTGACAGGAATCAACAAGATGGAAGGGTAAATAACCCTTTATTATTCAAATAAGATTTAACACAACTCCGTCTTAGAGTGTACAATAAAAGCCGACACTTGGGCTTGAACTTAAAAGCTTGAATTAAATTAAAACTAATCTAAAGAGATATAGCCGAAGCTATCAAGATTCTAACCGAGTTGGCCCCTTAACGCTAATTGACTGCGAAGTTATCAAGGGCCTAAGTACGACCGAGCGTAATAATAGCCTACGAGAGAGTAGCCTAAAAAGGCGGACGCGTGCAGACAGAATACCTAGTAAGTCTCTCGCTAAGACCGAAGAACTTCGTGGTTAAGTACCGCTCTTCCTCATTATGTATTCAGACGTGATTCTAAAACAGGAGGCCTTGTTCTAAAACTACGTTCTGGCCGGAAGTCGTAAGTTGAAGTTAAGAATCGACAGGAAAATGAACTTTAACTTAAAATTTAACTCTTAATAAAATTAACATAAACCTTACAAATTATACGCAATTTTTCTGCAGTTCATTTAAACATATTAATACGAAATGTACAGGCGCGGTGAGATAGCTTTCCCGCGAAGCAGTTTTAGGGTTGCCATAAAATGGTAAGGGAAGGCAAAGTTGCCAGATTTGGCGAAAAATCGCCCATTTGGCGAAAAATTGGCGATATTCCATGGATGAATGGAGAACCTTCTGCAACGAATTCTTACCGGTTTAGTTACCGGTTTAGTCTTACCGGTTAGCCGTGCTCTGTGTGTCGTCGAGTGCATCGCGAGTTGTAGCGCGAAGAGTCTCGAGAGTACGTGGAGTTCCGAAAACGACCGAGCAGAGTCGGGAGCTGTACTCTGCTTTGCAGTGAAGCTGTTCGTTATTGCCTGACAGTGTGAAGGCTGTGTCGCTGATTTTTCCAGCGTGTTTATTGTCGATCTTCTACCACTGTAAAAGTGACTTTGGAGATGTCGTGATTAATATTGGCTAAATAAAATGTGTTTCGATACTTCATCATCAAGTGTTGTCATTATTCACTCCAAATCCACACGAACCCCGTACGAATGTGAAGGAAGAAAATAACGTAACAACTGGTGTCAGAAAAAAAAACGCAACAATATTGAATTAACAGTTAACGAATTTTGAATTAAATCTACTTCGTCGATAGCGCATAAACCACAATAGAATAAATGAATAAATGCACTCTTTAGTTCACTGCATTTATTTACCATAGCGACACTTCCGCGCTACGTTCACTTAACAACATTAACATTAATTTTATAACTCTGAGTGCAGAAAAATTATATCATCTGAAGAATTACCGATGAATTATCAAATATTATAATACATATAAAACAATGTATAAAAGAAATTAAACAAATAGAAAATAAACAGTTTTTTGCAGGCGATTCAGCGCCACTTCCCTAATGCGCATGCTCTACTAATTAATTCAGTTCTCACTTCGCGGCAAGGCAAAAATATATAAAAATTCAAAATATTTTCTTTAAAATTTGAAAGATTATAGAAAAACATAAAACACTAAATTCAGTTAAAACAATTAAAAAATATTTTTATAATTAAAATTACAGTTTCTATGCCAAAACAAGCTAATAACTTAAATGACAATTCCAGAATGAAATTAAGCATAATTTAATTCGCAATAATAAAAGAAGATGTTACTTTGTTATTGCGAAGCTTACTTTCTCTAGATTGGCAACAAATCGAATATTCTGCTAAGTGTAAACAAACATGGCTGCCATGGTAATAAAAAATTAGGCTTAGCCGCACTTAAAAAAAAACTTTTAAACTGTTGATAATTCCGCAGTTATGGCATGCAAGTTAAATAAGACATAAAACTCTTAACCAGAAAGCAAAAAATGCACAATTTAAAAATGTATAAGAATAAAGAAACTGAGCTCACTGAGCCAAGTAACAGAGTGGATACATACACTCTTTTGCAAAAAAATCGAAGCACCATGAAGAAAGGGGTTGTTTTTGATAAAATTGAATATGTGTATAGAGCTCACACACAGATAATAAAATGATTAAAAATCAAGGCCATAGTACCTGTTCACGGCTCACAATCAGCCATTGAGTGTTCAAATTTGTAGTTCGTCAAACCGCCCCTGGTGACAATGCATGCTTGTATTCGTCGAGACAAAGAGTGGTACAGATTCCTAATGTCACCCTGCGACACATTCTGCCAGGCATTCATCACTTGTCGCTCCATATCTGCGATAATTTGTGTTGCCCGAATCTGGCGGCCTACCATGTCCCAGGCATGCTCGATTGGTGAAAGGTATGGTGACCTCGCTGGCCAAGGAAGAGTGTCAATCGCACGGAGACAGTCAAGAGATATGCGAGCGGTATGTGGCCTGGCATTATCTTGTTGGAAAATGGCCCCAGGATGACATGCCATGAAGGGTAATGCAACCGGCCGCAGGATGGTATCAACATATCTTCCAGCTGTTAAAGATGTACGGAGGATGACTAAAGATGACCTGCTGTCATAAGAAATAGCACCCCACACCAACACATTAGGGGTTATGGCTGTATGCCTTTGTAAAACAACGGCTGTTTGGGACCGCTCGCCTCTACCTCTCCTGACACGAACACGTCTGTCATCTGCTCCAAGAGTGGAGCTGGATTCATCGTTGAACACTATACGATGCAGTCTGATGGCAGCCATGATGATCGGCTGCGACACCACTCTAGACGACTCAGCCGATGTTGTGGGGTAAAAGGCAAACGTCTTAAATGCCTCTGTGAGCCTAACCCCGCCTCAGACAAGCGCCGTGAGATGGTGGACACGGGAGTTATAGACATGGCTGTAGTGCGTTGAATAGTCGACAATGATACCGTTGGGGCGGTTCGGGCCTGGCGAACAATCATCCTATCTTGCCTCGCAGTTGTGATCCTTGGCCTTCCAGAGCCTTCATTTCATCGGCAATTTCCTTGCAGCAACCATTGCTGCCAACATCTTTGCACAGCAGTGTCTGTATGCTGCAGGTGGCGGCCTATTGCTCGGTCCAGCTTCGCGCAACCCTATAATGCGACCACGTTCGAAGTTGTTTACTTGTCTGTAAGGTCTTCGATATCGTCGTACTGGCATCTTTAGTTGAATTACAATGGCAAGCAAAGATAAATTTTTCGCCTCTATTTCTGGTCTTATACTTTGCAAATTGCGCACTAGAAATGCGCGCTATGATCCCAATTCCTATTCATTTGCCTTGAAACTTTGATCATTTGCATGTTCGGTCAAGATGTTTTTGTATAGCAAATTTCGTCGTGACCGCAAAAGTCCTTGGTGCTTCGATTTTTTGCAAAAGAGTGTAGATATATATTTATATTTATATACTGTCGGCGATGCTGATTGCAACCAAAATGAGAGGTGCACATCTATGTGTTATAGCAGCACTATGCACAAAATTTCAGCGTTCTGAGGCTACAGGTATTTGAGTTATGTGAGATACGTATGTACACACGCCACGAATAGACTTCTTCAGAATTAATTTTGAATCAGTTTTATAATTTTTTGTGGGAAAAAGAGTCCTTTATTCTGTCCTTACGTACAGATATCACGCACAAACATCGTTAAATTGCATTTGATAGCGGTCAAAATGGATATTTTCGTTGAAATATGATACTCGAAATTTTTCGTGATTACTTATACTTCCTTTTTACTTCGTACAAGGAAGTAACAAAATCTGATGTGTACACCACATTACTTCCTTGTACAGAATATTAAATCATACGCATTTTTTTTTGCACTTCATTTAAATTTATTTGGATTGAATTAAATCTACTTCGTCGATAACGCATAAACCACAATAGAATAAACGCACTCTTTCAAATTCACTATATTTGTTTACCATAGTGCCACGGCCCACCAACGGCAGAGCGGTAAAGTCGCTGAAAACTGGTAATTCGGTCCGAGGTTCGAATCCCGCGAACGGGCTGGCTGCATGGGCGTTTTCGTGGTTTTCCCCATGTGTAACGTGTATATGAGCCAGTTTCCCTTAGATAGTCCTCCACGAAGTCATCCCTTCCCTTAGGCAGATAGCCCTAGTGTGCTTTGCCATAATTATACACCACACCATAGTGACAATCTGACGCTACGCTAAGTTCCCTTAAGAACGTTACATTTCATTTATTTTATAACTTAGATACTTTAATATACCGAAAGATTGCAGGATGCAACTTTGGCGGTTCTTGAATTAAAGCCCGAATAACACAGAAGAAACAACTTTCTGTGATAAAACAGCTTTTTTACATCCCTTGGGCGGCGTAGAAGCTTTCCGATCAGCAGTACCATTCTTGCGAATTTTAGGATAAAATTCACAGACTTTAAAAGAGGCCACGTGATTTTTGCCGCATCGAACACAAATGGGTTTGTCATCTTTCGAAGAGTACATGTATACGTGTATTACAAAACATTTGGCCATGGCCAAAACGTTGACATCTAAACGTAGCTATGATTGCTACGTTATTTTCGAATACTCACTCTAAGATTTAAGACATTATTGGTTTTCTTAGTGAATTGGGTAACCCTCAAAACAGGATAGCCAGCTTCACAAAGTTCAGTTTTGATTT